CGCCACGACCGTAGGTCGGACACAGACGACGAGGTATAGGAGTAGAATACACGACGCTACGCCCCGTGCTCTTCCCCGTAAACCCTGGGGCCTCAGCCAGCCGCTGTAATCCGCTGCATCCAGTGTGCCATGCTGAGATGAGAGAGGCACACAGGGACAGCGCACGGGGCTGCCAGAGTCCTGCGGGCATCGCCTGCCTGTAACGTAGAGGTGGGAAGGGTGGGGGAGTAGAAATCTCTGAGAAGAGCATCACTCGTGCCAGCGCACGCTTACTGCGACAGCCAGGCACCCAGGAGTCTGGAGTTTTCTGGTTCCTGAGCCTGCGGTCGGTCCCCAGGTGACTGGTTCTGTGGTGGGAACATCGGGGCCCCTGCCCCACTGTCCTGGTAAGTGAGGCCTCTGCCTCCAGCTCCCAGCCTTTAGGAATAAGAGCACCCTGCTTGGGGCTTGGAGACGTGGGGAGAGAAGGTGAAGATAGCGACCTGCAGGCCATTGGGCTTCACAGGGGAGGGACAGACTCCTCTAAGAACTGCACATCTGCAGGGGGTCGGGGAGAGAGACAAAAAGTGACCTGGGGGCCCAGTGAGCAGGGACAAGGCAGGAGGTGTCTACCCCGTATATGCCTGCTCCACTCCAGCCCCAGACTCCCCACTCCAAGTCCGCTACAAAAGAGGTAAGAGGAACCATCACGCTGGACGGCCCCCTCGGAGATGAGGACCAGACCCCGGACCATCGCTCCCCTCCAACAGGTGCTGAGGGGTCCTCCTTATCCCAGAGGCCACTTCTGAAGCTGGGGCCCCCAGAGGTGGAGGTAGCAGCCAGGATGTCCACTCAGAGCATCTACTACCTAAAGCCCGTGACTCTGCACCTGCCCCCTGGGATCCCCGAGTCCCCGAGTCGCCAGCGGCGCCACACACTCCCCGCCAGTGAGTTTCGCTGCCTCACCCCAGAGGATGCTGCCGGGGTGTTTGAGATTGAGCGTGAAGGTGAGCAGCCCCCACACAGGGGCCGGGACCCTGCTGTACTCCGCTGCTGCTCCCCTTGGGGAGAAGACCCTCGAGTCTCCTGTCCTTGGCAGCGGGGACCCCAGAATAATCAGACATGTGTTTCTGTGCGTGTGCATGAGTACGTGTGGGTTAGGAAAGTGGGGGGAACAGCAGTGTTGAACCTCTGCTTTCCTGTGGGGGAGGGACCTCTAAGCAGATTCTCGGTGTGCAGTGGACAGTGGGCAGGCGGCACGGAGACCACTGAGTCACCACCAGTGCCTCCTCCGCAGCCTTCATCTCTGTCTCGGGCATCTGCCCCCTGAATCTGGACGAGGTCCGGCACTTCCTGACCCTGTGTCCTGAGCTGTCCCTGGGCTGGTTCGTGGAGGGCCGCCTTGTGGCCTTCATCATTGGCTCCCTGTGGGACAAGGAGAGACTCACTCAGGTGAGGGCAGGGTGGGCCCAGGAGGCCCCTGGAAGAGAGGCCACTGCCTGCTGGCCCCTGGCTCCTCCTGCTTTCAGAGGCTGCCAGGGAGGGGAGAGGAACCCAGGGCCTGGGATTTCTTCCTCCAGAACTAAGAGATGAGCACAGATGTGGTCCTCTCCCAGGGCAACAGAGCCTGGTCCTTTCGGATCTCAAGGCCCTCATGAAGGGGCCACCCTAGGGCTGGGGATGTAGCTCCCAAGTGGGGGCCCTCCTTGGGTGAAAGGGGAGCCCTGATTGGAGAAACTCAGGGGACACCTGCCCTTGGCCCAGATGGGGGCAGTTTGAGGGTACAGGTGTCCACAGAGGTGACGTGGACTTATGCCTGTCTCTTGCCCGCAGGAGTCGCTGACGCTGCACAGGCCCGGGGGCCACACAGCCCACCTGCATGTGCTGGCCGTGCACCGCACCTTCCGGCAGCAGGGCAAGGGCTCCATCCTGCTCTGGCGCTACCTGCACCACCTGGGCGGCCAGCCGGCCGTGCGCCGGGCCGTGCTCATGTGCGAGGACCCGCTGGTGCCCTTCTACGAGAGGTTCGGTTTCCACCCTGTGGGCCCGTGCGATGTCACCGTGGGCTCACTGGCCTTCACGGAGCTCCAGTGTTCCCTGTGGGGCCACACCTCCCTGCGCAGGAACAGTGACTGCTGACCTGGCCACCATCTGGGGTGCCTACGGCCAGGTGCCAGAGATGTGGGGAGGCAAGCTGGGGGCTCCTACCCTGTCCTGGTGTCCTCTTCTCCACCCTGGCCTTCCCCCAGCTCAGGAGACAGTGACTCCCAGGTGGCCACAGAGAGGGGAGGGGTGAAATAAAGAGAAAGTGGGGTGGCTGCTCTCAGCCCTGGCTGCCCCGCTGGGGCACCAGCTGTGTGTCCTCCAGTCTGTCTGCACGAGGCCCTCTGTAGTCCCTGCATTCCAAACTGTGCCCTAACATGGCTGGGTCGGTTAAGTAGGGACAGTGGGAGGCATCCTGCAGCTCTGCCTCGGCATCCTCACTAAGCAAGCCTGGTGCTCAGGGGCCCTTAACCCCTCCAGACCCGGGTCTGCACCTTCCCATCCTCATCCCTGGAGTGCAGGGTACCTGGGAGCAGGAAGGGGCAGGGACCACCTCCCAGCTCACCACACTGGCCCCCAACCCCACCACAGGACCCTGGGTCCTATGCCCACAGTAACAGTGTTGTGCCCCACTGGGGTGTGGGGTGAAGTGTGGGGTGCAGGATTGTAGGTAACAGACAAGTGCTGCACCTCCCACCCTCTTTGCCAGGACGGCCCTCGCCCCGCCCAGCCAGCCCCCTCACTATCCCCACAAGCAGGTGGGGCTGGGGGACTGCAGGGGTCTCAGGGATTTAACACCACCCTCTCAAGTGACCTTTCAGGGGGTCCCAACCCAGTTTCTGGTCCAACCAAAAACCCCAGAAGCCCATTCCCTGAGCTCCTTATGGCTGACCTGGCCACTCTCACCTCCAAAATAAATTTCCAGCTTTTATTCTACCCGAGGCCTCAGGTTAAAAGATAATGTTTCTCTAAAGAATATCACTTAATACATTTCAGACATCATCCATACAAAGTTAGCGTTACTTTAAAAAATTAGGGCCATAATATAAACTGGTAGGAAAAAAAAGGGCCTGATTGACCTTGGGCAACCCTTGGAAGCAGGTCCCTGGGGTGGTCCTGCCCCCACGTGGGCGGGAGTGAGACAGAGGGTGGTGGGGCTGGCCAGCGTCAGTCCAGCCCCATGAGGCAGAACACTGAATCGAAGGAGGGCTGGGGGCCTGCGGGGCAGGTGCAGCGTCCGTTTGCTAAGAACAGCAGAGGCTCTCAGCTTCCCGGTCTAACTGTGTCTCCTTGCTCCTTGGTCCTCTGCACCAGACCCCAGCCAGAGCTTCTCTCAGTGTTCAGTCCCTGAGCATTATGGGCAGGCTTAACAGGCCACTGATGGATGCCGGGGGTGGATTCACAGGGCAGAGAGGGGAGGGGACACAGGAAGGGGGCCGTGGGGACGCAGGGCTGGGAACCTGGTGGGAACCCCAGCCACAACCCCAGGAAGGGCAGGCTCACAGGAGCGGGGAGAGGAAAGGCACCAGCAGAGGCTGAGGTGGGAGAGGGGCAGCAGCCCAGGACCCTGGGAAGAAAGAAACCCAACCCAGGAGGTGGTCCCGAAAGCAGGGGAGTGGGGAGGACATCAGGGCCTGGGCCCCCGAGCTGCAGAGAAGCACGTGTTCAGAGCGTCCCTCAGCCTGGCCCTGACGAGGAAGGGCTCCAGTCCCCCAGGGAACCCTGCTTTATGACCGCCTCCCGTGGGCTCAGCCTGGCCTGGAGGAGGGAGCTCCTGGGATCAGAGCTGCGCCCCCGAGGGCGTTTCTGGAGTGCGGGGAGGGCCTTACGGGCAGGCAGCCCCGCCCTGGCAGTCAGCCCCGTGGCATCGGGCTCCGCGGGGCGGGCGGTCAGTGCAGCACCTGGTCCAGCTCATACTTCTCGCAGAAGCGGCTGGTGAAGGGGAAGCAGGTGAGGTACTCGATCCAGGGCCAGTGGATGGGGTAGACGTAGAGCCAGACGACGAGCGAGGCAAAGAGGCCGGCGAAGACCAGCAGCGACACCAGGATGAGGGCGCGCTTGCGGTACTTGTCGCTCGTGCCGAAGGTGATGTAGGGCAGGAAGGCAAAGGCCAGCAGCAGGCCGCTGAGGAAGCCGACGATGTGCGCGATGTTGTCGATCCAGGGTAGGAGGCCGCACACAAACAGGAAGAGCACCACGACCAACAGGTTCAGGAAGGCCTTCCAGGGCCGCTCCAGCAGCTCCCAGCTCTGGAAGAGCTCCACGAAGAGGCAGGCGAGGAGGCCGAACTGCGACCCAGCGGGGCCCACCTGGGAGGGCAGGGAGGGGACGAGGCTCACTTCCAGGTCCCAGGTGGGAGCCTGAGGGGGGCTCTGGGCACGGCGGGGCTGGAGCCCAGGGACCCGGGTCGTCCTATTTGTGAGCCCCTCCCAGGGCGAGGGCCCGGGGGCAGCTGGAGCTGCCGGGTCAGAGCTGGGCTTGTTCCACCCACCCTTTTGGCAAATACTGAGCACCTACTATGTGCATGCCAGTGCAGGAAGCAGGACAGACAGCCTGCTCTGGGCAGTGCACGTGGGGAGGGACAGACACTGAACAAGCCGACAGGGTCAGGTTGAACCCATCAAAAACTGCCATTTCTATGGGCCAAGAACTGTCACACACAGGTGATTTTATACAGCTTAACCCATAACTATGGGATGTGCTGGCAGGCAATGGTCACAGTCATGGAGAGAAATGAAGCAGAGAAGAGGCAGAGTGAGGGGCAGGGTCCAGGAAGGTCTTTCTGGAGGTCACAATGACACATGACCCAGAGGCATCGCTGCTCCCTCGCACCCAGGGATAGATTCAGGAATTGACTTTAAGCCCCCAGCTTAGCTGTCAATCCACCATTGAGCCTGACATGGGAGGGGATGTGTGTCCCTCTGGCCATCCTGCGGGAGGAGAGTGGGAAGCCGCAGAGCTAGCCCTCCCACCCCGTCCCCAGGGTCCCTACCTCCGCACGGTACGGGAGGAAGATGGTGCTGGCAAGGTTGCCAGTGATGCCACTGAGGATGAAGATAATGGAGATGCGGTGCCAGCCAGCCAGCTTCTCCAGGTCCCGCAGGATGGTCATTTGGAAGACCACAGACACCAAGCAGTGCACCACGCTGGGTGGGGGACACACCAGGCATCAGCCCCCTGTGCCCGTAGCTGCCAGCCAGGCACTTCGGGAGTGGTGGGGCCTGGCAGGTTGTGCAGGCTGTGCCCTGGCCCGGGAGCCCCTCCTCCAGGGGTCCAGGTGGGCGGCCACCACAGGGGTCTTGGGGTTGGCCAGCGAGGCCCCTCTTACCCAGCGTGGAGGAACAGAGACAGCCAGAGCCTGTAGAACTGATCTGGGACCTCGGGGTTGAGGAAGGGCAGCAGCCCACACACCTCGTCCAGGCAGTGCACCTGGGGGTGAGCACATGGCGATCAGTGCCTGGGACGAGGCTGGGTCAGAGGCCCTGATGTCGGGGACAGAACTGGACACCTGCTGCCGTGCTGAGCTGCTCACACCCCAGGCCCCACCAGGCCCTGCCTCACCTGGGAACAGAGTGTGGCCTCTTCGTGGAAATAGCCGTGCATGAACTCACAGTATTCCCGGGTGGTGATCTCACAGCTGGGGAGCAGGGAGGCAAGGGTGTACGTCAGGGGCCTGAGCCCTCCTGCTCACTCACCCAGTGCCCGGTGCCCGGCCACAGCATGCTTCGCTGGCAGGGACCTGCTCACACCACGGATGGCCCCCGAGCAAGGAGGGAGGCCACCAGCTGGGTGAAGGGTGATGGAGAAGGAGCACTGGGCAGAGTGCCCAGGCCGGCTCACCTGCCCTTGGTGCCGATGCAGCAGGGGCGGCCGCGGATCTCACAGTCCAAGTGCAGGAAGCCCGAGCGGTTACTCCTGGCCTGCTCTGTGCAGATCTGTGGGGAGGGGCACCGACGGGTGACTGGAGCAGTGTAGCAGCAGGTATGCCCTCCCCACCCTTCCCAGACTGCTCTCCACCCCAAGTGACACTCACTGGCCACTTGGTGATGTCATCAGGCCAGATGTGGGCACCGCTGGAGGCTGGCTCCTCACAGGTTCTAGAGGCAGAGGTCAGAGGTAATGAAATGAGCAGCAGCTGCATCCCAGCCTGCCACGCCCACTGGCCAACATCCCCATGGGTGGCAGAGGCAACATGATACTCAACCCCATCTTCTCCGACAGCACAGCTGGGGGTCACTCTGGGACTGTACCTGGGGTCCTGGTGGCACACGGCCCCCGATGTCCGCTTTTGGCCCAGGTCGGACTTGTCCATGGGGGGCCCGGTATCATCCTGCCACTTGACAAAAGTTGCCAAAGTCTCCTGGAGGATGGAAGCAGGCTGGTCATGGTGAGGACAAGATCAACCCCATGAGAGTAGGCAGGGGACCCTCCAAGATAGAAGCTCTTCCCCTGCTGTCCAGGGCCCAGACCCCCAACCCCAGCTGATACTCCAGGACCCAGCTTTCACTTCTCTGGGGCTGGAGAGGTCAGCACCCTCCCTGTGCTGAGCAGCATGCAGGGGTGTGAGGCCAGGGAGGGCAGAGGAAGGATGGTGGCAAAGTGGACACCTCCCTCGAAGGGCCCCTCCCCGAGGCTGGGGCAAGTGGAGACAGTGCAGGGGACCAGAGTGGGGCTGGCAGGGGTCCGGGGTCTTCCCTCACCGAGCAGTCCTTCCGCTGGGTTTGAATGCAGCCCGAGTGGTCGTTCTGGACGCAGCAACCCGAGTCCCGCTCCAGGTCTTGCTCCCGCAGCACCAGCTGCTCAATCTGCTGGTCCTTCCGGATGCAGGGCGAGAACTTGGCTCCCAGGTGGATCAAGTCAATCTGGGGGGTGGGTGAAGGGGGTAGGTTGTGAGCTCGGGGCCAGACGTGGCTACTCTGTTGAGAGTCTCCCCTGAGGGTACCTCACCGAGCTGGGGCCAATCCAGAAGTTCTCCTGCTGGATGTACTTCACGCTCTCGTACACACCTTTGTTCCTGAGTACCTGGTGCAAAGGTGGAAGGAGAGGGGTTAGGGGATTCCCTGTTCCAGGGATTCAGTAACGCCTCTTGGTGGGGAAGCTGGGATCCCCCGGGTGGGGCCCCCTTCCCTAACCCTACTCACCAGCTGGGTGGTAACATGCTGTGCGAAGCCCACGGGTGCGATGCCATATGTGCAAATCACCAGCAATGTGATGATGATGTGGACGAAGGTCAGCCAGTAGGTGAAGTAGGGTCTGTGGGCAGAGGCCTTGAGGCAGTCAGCAGAGCTGAACTCACACCCTGTCCCTCAGCTCTGTGGTGCCTAGCCACCATCAGCTCTCACCTGTTCCCTGCCCTCCACCTTGCCTCTCAACTCATCCTTCACCACAGCAACTCTTAAAATGCATCTCTACATGTCTCTCTTAGCTTAAATCCTTTCCATGGCTTCTCACTGCCCTGGTGATAAAGTCTAACATTGCCCCCTCCCACTGGTTGCAAGGCCTGGCTGTGCCCACTCACCTCCCTGGCTTTCTTCCTCTTTCTCTTATAGTTCCTGGAACAAACCTTGCTCCTTGCAGCCCCAGGGCCTTTGCACATGATGTTTCCGTTGCCTGGGATGCTCTTTCCATCTCTTTTCACCCAGCTAACTGCTGCTCATCCTGACTATACCCCTCCCTACCAGCTGTTCACTCCCAACTCTGTCCTCCAGGACACTCTCCACACCTATTACGTATTTTTTTGATAATTTTGGGTCCAGTGTTCACTGGGTGGTTGCTTATCATATACTCTGTGAGAACAGCCTCTTCCCAACCCAGTGGCTTCACCCAAGGTCTTTGTGCAGATCCTCTCCACAGTCCCCTCACTCACGGTCACAGCTTCTGGCTGCCCCTCTGCCCCACCCTGTTTCAGGGCCTGTGTGCTGGCACTCAGTGACTGCTCGTTGACGGGCTGCTGTCTGGGAGCCCAGCGGAGGATGCCGGCCCAGAGAGTGGGGAGGGTGGAGAAGAGGCAGCCACGCCCGATAACCCTTCCCAGGTGACGTGCATGCTCGTAGGGTGACCCTGAGGACTTGTCCCTGCTCTCCTAACCCACAGGAAATGCTCACCAGGGGCTCGCTGAGTAAGGGGCAGTTGAGGGGAGGGCCTGGGGAACTTGGAAGCTCCCAGACCCTTCCGGTAGCTCTCAGCCCCCGTCCCCTCTGCCTACACCGGGGAGGAGCTCTCCAGAATGGTGACTGCCCCCAGCTCTCACGGAGTGTGTGGGACCCCAGGTCCGGCGCCCAGGCCCACTCACCGGTGGCTGTCGAAGCCCTCCAGCTGGCGCTGCACGGTGCTGCTGATGCTGCGGCGGTAGCTGCGGTTCAGCCAGGTGCCCACCACGCCCAGGCCGTAGTGCCGCTTCTTCCGGTCGAAGGCGAAGTGCTTCACCTTGGAGGCGATGCGCCTTCCGCGCCTGGGCATGGGCGCTGGGGCTCCGCCGTACTCCTTTCTGGTGGGGATGGGGCTCTCAGCTTGGTGCCCACCCCCACATCCCACGAGGGGGCGATCAGGAGGCACCGGTGGCCTGGGGAAGCCCCCATGTGGGTCACTGAGCCCCGGGGGAGCCCCTTCCCGTGGTGCCGTCTCCCTCCGCCTGGAAGTGCGGGAACTCACAGCGGGATCTGCACCCCGTCGGGGGAGACCGGGGAGGCCGAGTGTGGGAGCCCCCGGAAGTAGCTGGCAGAGAGTGGGGGAGACTCAAACACATCATCGGGCATGGAGCTCATTTCTTCCTGGGGTGGGGGTGGAGTGGGGGACACAAAAAGAGACAGTGTGAGGAGTCACTGTCCCCAGAACTGACCCCCAACAGCTCAATTCAAGGGCAGGACAAAGCCAGAGGAAGGCACATGCCTGTCAGCGCTGATGGTGACTTTCCCGGCTGGCACCCTGCCCCAACCCAGGTCCTCACTCTGTCAACAGGAAGACCGGGGCCCAGCACCTCCATCCCACCAATGGGCACTTGGATATCTCAGGGTCTTCTAGCAGAGCAGGATCGAGGCCAGGTCACCTTTCCTAGCTTCTGGCCCCCTGATCCCCAACCCCGAGGGCCCACATACCCCATGCTTGCCTTACTAAAAAACGAGGAGTCGAATGTCTCCACCCCATCGACTGCATCCTCCTCCAGGAAGCTGGGGTAGGCAAAGCTGCGTTTGACCACCCGGCACCGCTGTCCCGCGGCATCCAGCACCGAACGGCCCTGTGCGGGGGCAGAGACATGGGCATCAGGCCCAGGTCAGGTGTCCCCTCCCCCCTCCAAAGGGGTCTGTCAAGCCCACCACCTCTGGAGGTGGGACCCTGCCCGGAGCATGAGCATCTACCAGAGGCCGGGAAGCGGGCTCCAGCTCCTCCACAGCCCTGAACGCAGCACCCTCTGCACAGTTCGCTGTTAACTTCTCCCTGGTGACCTCTGGTCCTCTGGCGTGGGCATCTGCCACCCCACCACTCATCCTGCACCCGTACTTCCCAGGCTCGGGCTTCTTGGCATGGCACACCAGGCCCCTGCCCACCTTTCTGATCCCATCTCCTGCTGTTGCTCTTGTAAACCACCCTTCACTAACACCACCTGCTGCTCGCCCAAAGTGCCTCTGCATAGGCTGTTTCCTCTGCTGAGAAGGCTGTCCCCTTCCTGGCAAGCCTTTCCTTATACTTCTGGGTTCAGCTCAAGCGCCTTCCCTGACATCAGCCCCTCTGCTGGGTGAGAGGGGGCAGCTCCTCCGCTGGGTGAGCCCCAGCACTCATCACACTGAATGGTAACATCCGACCTCACCCGAGCTGAGGGTTCCCCCAGGGCAGCAACACCACTCATTTTGCTCTATAGCCCCCATGCCCAGCATATGACAGGGGTCAGTGAGTGGTGACTGCATGTTTCACTTCACTCCAGCTTAAGTGTCAGTGCAAAAACCAGCTGCCCGCACTCTGGAGAACTGGGGCTGGAAGGATGAGGGCCTCTCTCTCTGCCCAGGGATCCCAGTGCATCCACTACCCTTGGTACAGACAGAGATGCCTGGCTGAGTTTTGAGGGGATGCTGTGGGGAGAGACAGGGAGAAAGGGATGATGGAAGAGGCTGGGCAGAGGTGTCCTCACCTTGAGGAAGGCGGCAGCAGCCTGGAAGCTCATGTGGGCCACAGACATCCTCTTGCGACGGGGCAGGTGGGAATAGCCAGAGCGCACGCTGGTGAAGGAGGTGAGGGACAGGACCCCGGGGGTCAGTGGTGGGTGCGGGGCGTGGGGCCGGTCCACCTCGTCTGGGTGGCGGAACGCCCGTCCTCGGGCCAGGGGATCCACAATCTGGACAGGAGGGAGGAGGTGAGCAGTCTGTCGTGGCCCTGGGCCGAGTTGCCCACTTCCCCTCCACCCTGATGGGGCCCACCTTGGGCAGTTTGCAGGGTTTTGGAGACTCGGTGCCCTGGAAGGAGGGCACCTCCTGGCTGGGGAGCTCCAGGTCCCTCTGGCACGAGGCCTTGAGGCGGCCGTAGCGGACGCTGCAGTGGTGCAGGCTCCTGCGCTGCCAGTGCTGTCGCTTCAGCTCCCAGTCGCCACTGACCCCGAACCACTGGGCTGCACCCCTGCGGAGCAGACGTGTGTGTGTGCAGGAGGTGACGTGAAGTGACAGGGCACTAGTATGTGTGCGGGGGAGGTGACAAGAGAGGTGACAGGGCGTATGTGTGTGCAGTGGGAGGGGCGGATCAGCTTCCCCTTGAGCTGTTGGTTTGCTGCCCAAGGATCAGGTGGGCAGAGATAGACTCAGGTCCAGAGCCTGACAGGCTGAGCTGGGATGGCCTCGGAGCCGCTCTGAGGGGCAATGGTCTGCTCCCAGCTCCTTGAATCCCTCAGCCTTCACACTGTGGCTTCCTACCAGGCACAGAGCCGCCTGGGCCTCAGTTTCCCCGCCTGTAACACGGGGTCAAATGCTCAGGTCTGCCCTGCAGGAGGACGCTGCTGATTTGGTGACTGTCCACACCTCCCAGGCAGGGACCAGGGACCAGGCCCCCCGGAAGTCCGGGTGCCCAGAGTTTACCGGGCTGCAGGGGCGGGTAGGCGGGCGGTGCTCACTTGCGGATGCTCTGGGACAGGGAGGCCTGGCGGCGGAAGCCAGGGCGCTTCTCCGACCCGCCCTCCTGCCATCGTCCCCGCGGCTCCTGGAGGCTGACGCTCTTCAGGTAGGCTGGATTCCTGGGCCTCTGCAGGGAGGCGAATGGCGGACAGGCTGTGACTGTGTGGAGCCCAGGTCCCGGGCTGGCTCTGCCCAGGATTCCAGGGTGAAAACCCAGAGAGACCAAACCTCAACCCCAGTTCACCCTGAGCTGCTTTCATTCCCAGGGCAAAATCACCATTGTTCAGTGTTCTGGGCGAGCCCGGCCCGTGCTCCCTCATTCCCTGTCCAGCGCTCCCCCGGTAGCTGTGACGGCCTTGCCTGGCGTCGCACATTGGAAAGAGCCCTTGGGTGATGGGCAGTGGGACACAGCCTCCCTTGTGCCCCAGGCTGAGCAGGAAGAGGCCCACGCTGTTCAGAGCCACTTCTCAATGAGCTCTTTATGGAGCGCCAGCCGGGACTGTCGGAAATGGTGATTCATCCCCATTTTCCTGCAGGAGCCAGGCGCTGTGAGAGCAGGCTCCTGGTGCTGCAGACGCCTCTGCCCCCCAGTCACAGACAGCCTGCCCCCTAGTCACAGACAGCTCGCCCCCCACGGAAGAGCCTGGGCCTGGTCAGGGTAGGGAAACAGCCAACTCCTAGGTGGAATTGGCAAGCTCCTCCTGTTCCCCCTGGACCAGCATGACTCGGAGCTCCTGAGTTCAGGGCTCACTCCCTGCAGAGTTTGGGGCCAGGATGGAGGGGGCACAGGCTCAGGGCAGGGGCTACAGGGCAGCTGTGGCTCAGAAAGGGTCTCCTCCAGGAAGTGAAACTGCCCAAAAGGTGTCGTGTGGGCACAACGGTGGCCTGTGGAGGGGCAGTGAGCGCCCAGCTGCCCCCTTACCTGGGGCAGCATGCTGGCCTGCTCGCTGGGGGCCGGGGTCTCAGGCGGAGGGATGGTGATGGACAGGTTGGGTGGCTTCCGGCTCTGCAGGCGGCTGCTGGACACCGAGGAGACACTCCCGCCACTTCTGTCAGCGGAGGCCATGGTGGGCAGGGGGGCAGGGCAGCTGGAATGGAAACAGGGAGGGGGCGCAGGTGTGTAAAGAGGTGGCAGGATGGGAGGGGACACAGGGACAGCCCAGGGTGTCAGGGCAAGGCCAAGGCAGGCAGCCCAGACTGATAACAACCTATAGAAAGTTGGTTCAAACCTTAGTCTGGATACTAAACTACACAGCAGAGACTGAATCGGGCTGGGAGGGGTAGGTGAGAAGGTCTATTTTTGAACTTCATTTGCATTCCAGGCCAGCAGGGGTCTGGGAGGTCCCCAACTTACTACCTCATTCCATTTCTGGTCTCTCTGCTTCAGGCAAGGACCAGAAAGGAACACGACGGCATGGGATATAGATCTGCCATCATCTTGGTCACCTGGCCACAGCAGGCCAGGGGGCCAGAAGGCAGCTTCCTTGGACAAAGAGCCCTACCTCTGTCCCTGGGTTGGGCTTGGGGGAGGACAAGGAAAAGGCTCCCGGGCAACCCACAGACAAGGGGCCCACAGCTGTGCAGGGAGCAGGTGGTTGTTGGAGGAGGAGGAGTCCCTGGGCTGTGAGGGAGGAAGTGGTGGCTCAACCTAATTCCCAGGTAGATGAGAAGCCATCACGCTGGTCCCTGTCCCCCAGGGCTGTCCGGTTCCTCTTTCAAAGGTAACTGAAACTGCCACCTGTCTGATACTTTTTTCTTTATTCTTTTCACGGAGGAAAAATATCTTAGTGATGAAAATGATAAATGCACATTGCAAAAAAAAATCCCAAAAAACCCAGAAGACTTGAAAGCAGAAAGTGAATGCATGGCCTACCTGTCATCCCATCTTCCAGGAAGGAAGTCAGGTGTGCACATCCCTCCAGATGCCTCTCTGCACCTGGAAGAGGATGTGTGTAGTTAACATTTTATACACAATCAAGACAACTTATAGAAGTGCAATTGCAGCGTGGACAAGTGCGTGCATCTTGAATTTTGAAGCATCTTGCCAAAGGGCTCAGCCAACAGGAGGTGACGATTTTACCCCCATCTGGGGCTTTTCCATACTAACGCCACGAATCCCCACCCACGGCTGTGATCCCATCCGAGTTAACACCCTCTGCCTTGTCTGTTCTCTCCAGTTCACTCATTTGCCCTGTGACCTTTTTCTTGCTAAAAATCCTTTGCTATTTCCTCTCCCCACGTCCCAAGGCTGCTGGGGCAAGTTTGATTTCTCCTCTCCTCACACGAGGCCAGGGATTCTGCCAGCCTGGTGGGGAGAGTCACACGGGAGCCCTTGAGCCAAGGGCACATGGGGCCAAGGGCGTGACTACAGGGCAATGTAGCAGCCACCTTTGTTCTGAGTCTGTCTGCTCCCCCATCTCTGCCTGGCCCCCATGAGAGCCACCATCTTCTCTCACTTAGAGGGTCATGGCAGCCTCCTGACTCCTCCACCTGCTGCCCCTCGAGCCCCCATCCCCATGACCATTTTCCACAAGGCAGCAGAATTCACCTTTTAAAAGCACAAATTGGAGGGTGGGGGAGGGTATAGCTCAGTGGTAGAGCATGTGCTTAGCATGCACAAGGTCCTGGGTTCAAGCTCCAGTACCTCCATTAAAATAAATGAATAAAAATCTAATTACCTCCTTCCCCCCTCCCCCCAAAAAGGGGGAAAAAGAACTTAGAAAAAAAAAAGGACAAATCATACCAGGTCACTCCCTGCTCAACACTGGGCCAGGATTTCCTGTTCTCACTTAAAACAAAGTCCAAATTTCTCACTGGGGCCTTTGGGCCCCTCATGGCTTCATCTCCTCCTGACACCCCCCCCAAATTCCACCACTTTGGGCCCCTAAATTCCCCGTACCTGCGAAGCTCTGTGAGAAGGTACTGGGAGATCATGGTCAAAAGCACAGACTGGAGCCAGGCGGTCTGAGCCTGATCTGCACAGGGGCCTACACTTGACCACAGAGTCACCCAAGTCCTCACCTTCCAGGGGAGAATGGCCCCCTCCCCCAGAGAGGCGTCCTGGGCGTGAACTGACTGCATGCCTGACACACACTCGGGCAGCACGTCCAAAGACACTTGTTCAGGAACGTTCACTGGAGCCCAAAGGTGGAAACAACGCAAACGCTCATCAACAGACAAAGGGATAAGCAAAACGTGCTAAATCCATGCAATGGACTATTAGGCAGCCACAAACAGGAATGAAGGGCTGAGACAGGCCACAACAACCTGGAGGACGTTCTGCTCAGTAACAGAAGCCAGACACCAAAGACCACATACTCCAGGAGTCCAAACGCAAGTCCAGAAGAGCAAATCTATAGAGACAGAAGATGAGTCATGGCTTAGGGCTGGGGGCTGGGGACAGCAAAAGGGTATAGGTTTCATTCCAAGATGATGAAAATGTGCTAAAGTTGACAGCAGTGATAGTTGCACATACCCGTGACTATACTAAAAACCATTGAATTGTACGCTTTAAATGGATGAGTTTTCTGTGAATTATAGAAATTAAATGTGAACTTTTTCTCAATAAAGCTGGTTAAAAAAAGTCTCAAGCAGGCGCTTCGTAATTGTCGGTCCTCTGCCCCCGCTACTCCCTTCATCCCCAGAACAGATCATCACACAGCAGAGCAGGTGGCTTCTTCTCGTCATTCTAGTCCCAGCTTGAGTGCCACCTCCTCCAAGGAGCCCTGACTGCCTGGAGCAGCCCTCCCACCCCATATGTCTCTCCGTTGCTTCACCCTGCTCACCTCCCTCTCTGCCCTATTCTGGCCTTATTCACAGCTGTAGCTCCACTGCCAGAAGAGTGCTGGCCCACAGATACCACCAGTACGTATTTGTTGAAAATCAAATAAAAAGCAAGCAAAGCAGCTGGTACCTGGGGTCCAGCCCACCCAGCCACCCAGCCTCCTACCTTCAGCTTCCTGGGTCTTGTTGCAGAGGTCTTTAGAGCATGCTCTAGTCCTTTCCTTGCTCTGTACAGATGCTCTGGGGTCAAGCCTCAGCTCTGCAGAGAGGTGGATAGATGCAGAGAGATGGGAAGGCAGACAGACGGCCCCAGGTCAAGCAGGGCAGCTCTCTTGGTGCTCACAGCCTGTAAGAAAGGATGGGCAGGCTCAAGCCAGCATGTCAGGACCACTGCAGCTTTTAATCTTCTTGACCTCAGCCGCCTCATCTGTAAAATGGGGATAATTCCAATGGCCTCAGAGATCAGGGATTAAAGAGATATATTCTCCTCCTCTCCTGGATTAAGGGCCCCAGGTGATGAGCTGGGCACTTCAGAGAGCCCGGGGGGGGGGGGGGGTCAGGGGCTCTAGCCTCAGGGCGTTTACCCACCCCATCCAAAAAAACCCCAACCATCTAAAGACCTACACTCTGGGCTGGGAACCCTAAAATCAAGATGGTCCCTACTTTCTTTACAACATAACTTTACTAGAAACATTTCACTTTAAAAAACATAGGCACTAGGGGGAGGGTACAGCTCAGTGGTAGAGTGTGTACTTAGCATGCATGAGGTCCTGGGTTCAATCCCCAGTACCTTCTTTAAAATAAATAAGGCCCTCCTTGACAGAACCCTGAGGGCTGCGGGGGCAGGACAGGGTCAGGCCTTGCTTGGCCCTTCAGCGCGTCATCCCACTTTGTCCTCAAAACACTCTTTGAGGTAGACATTGTCATCACTTCCATTTTGTGGATAAGAATGGAGGCTCAGAGGGGTTGAGTAACTTGCCCGAGCTCACAGAGCCAGGACGGGGAGCAGCTGGGACTCAAGCTGCTCTGGCTCCAGGGCCTGAGGTCTCCTCAGGAAACAGGTGCCTCTTCTCCCTAAAGTTGGGGTACACTTGGGGCTGGATGGCCCCATATCAGGGAGACAGAGTTGAGTCCAGCCTGGAGGGAAACTTGGTCAAACATTTCAGCACTTTGCAAACTGTGTTCCTCGGAGGCCTGGGTTACCCAGAGGTGCCCGAGGGGCTGCCATGGGGTGAAATGGAGACTGGGGGAGGGTCTGGGCCCCCTGTTCCACAGGGCAGCCCTCTTCTGGCTTTACATATTGGAACTTTCACTTGGTTGAAGTCCTCCAACTATAGGTGAGAGGCACCCTGGGTGCAGAGAGGGTGCCAGAGGGAAATGTGATGCAGAGCTGGGGTGGGAGCCCAGGACGCTTCCTGCTTGGGGCTTGACTAAGACTCAGGCATCCTTCCTTCTACCCCGTAGTTTGGGGAGTTCTGACCCCACACCCCGAGGCAGATGGGCCCAAGGAGGCCCCTCGGAGATCATGGCCAGACGGGTGCTGGGCTGGCTGGCTCCTCAGATGTCACTCTGCACCACTCTGGGGACAGCTCCAAGACAACAGCCTCACCTGGGGCCCCTACCATGGAAAGTTCTCCAGCTTGGCCTCCTTTGGGACCAGGGTGCAGTGAGAGGCCACTGGGCAGGCACTTCCCTGGGAAATCGGCACCAAGGAGGGAGGGAGGCAGCGGAGGAAGGCTGGGGGTCAACGTGGGGCTGCCAGGCCTGAGCACATAGGATCCTTCTGGAACTCAGAGCTGATCACATCTCCCCGGAGTCAGCAGCCGTGCCCTTCAGAACCTGCCCCACACCCAACCAGACACATCACATCCCCCCGCTCCCACTTTCTCTTATCTGAGGCCCTGAGCCTGGCACACCAGGCTCCACCTCACCTGCCTGGCCAAAGCCTACCAGCCACTGCACAGAGGGTAAAGGGTCACCTCTTCCAGAAGGCCTGTCACGTCACCACCAGTCCAAATCAACCCCCTTCTCACAGCATCCCGCAGAGATGTGCCTGCATGTAGGCATCCCCCACCCGCCCCTGGGCAGGACAGGGTCCAGCACGCAGTCGGCCTCGTTAACGGCTAACTGGATGGAAGGCAGGTGGGAGGGCAGGTGTCCACATGGCTGCAGATGGTCAGTCCAGACTGATCCTGAACAGAAACTGTCTCCTGCAATCTCACGGCCAGCCCAAGAAGTGGCGCAACCTGGAGGGCTCTACCAAGTGCTGCCTGCTCCACCCCAGCTCTGTGACCACTGCAGGACCAAGGATGGAGGATGCGGTCCCAGGATGAGTCCTCAGAGGACCCCCCGTTTCCCTGCTTCCCCAGCACACCCAAGACCATACCACCCCTGGCTGGGATCCCCACCCAGGACCCACCGGGCTGCTGGCAGCTGTGCCAATCCCCTGATGGGAAGAAGGGCAGGCTCAATCTGAGGCTGAAAGACGGGGGAGACTGGACTAGCTCCAGGGAAATCCTGAGGGTCCCAAAGAGAAGAGGCCCGGCCCTGGAAAGCAGAGGCAGGGCTGGGCCGCGTTTTACACAGGAGAGTCATTTAACCATCTTCACAGGGCGGTGCCAGGAGTCCTGGCTCTGTAAGCAGCTTTGCCCACAGCCTCACTTTTCTTCTCTGTTAAGCGAGGGAGGTGGACAGGATGATGGTCTAGCTTTGACACCAACGAGGCCCACATATTTGGCATAAAAACACCACCTTCCCCCAACCACTCTCCACGGGGGAGGGAAGGGCCTGTTCCTGAGACCAAGTGCCCCCAACTTGTGCAGAAATGGTGGGGGCTGTGCCAGAAGCCCAGCCCCTGCCCTGGGGCTCGGGGAGGAAAGGGGCGGGGAGTGGCAGGTGCCTGGGGCAGGTGCAGGGTGCCCACGGAACCCAAGTCCAGGGCATGGAGGAGCCCAGGCGGCCAAGACCAGGCCAAAAAAGTGCTGGAGTGCTGCGAGCACCCGCCCCAGCCAGCCCTTATCTCCCGCGCCCCAAAAGTGCTTGCTCACTGCAGAGGAAATTGTGACATCCTGGGACCAGTCTTCATCCTGGCCCAGTCACATCCGCTGTTCTCTGAGACCCCCAAGTCTGCCACAGCACCTAGCCTCGGGGGGGGGGAGGTTTAAGGGCCTGCCCCACCCAGCCAGGCCACTGCCACTGCCACTGCCACTTGCCCACAAGGATTTTGGCCTCGGTGGGGCCTTCCACCCCAGAGTAGCTAGGAGACCCCAAAGGGGCCTGGGCAGAGGGAAGGGGCTTCAGGTGGGCCTAGCATGGGACAGGGCAGTGCATATCCAAAGAAACAGTGACATACAGAGTTCAAATCACCCCAAGTATGGAGACTTCTGTATCCCACCCCACCCAGAGTCTGAACCCCCACCACCCCACACTCAGAAGCATAACCCAGCTGGCAACAGCCAGGATCAGCACATATGACAGAGACACAGGCTCAGAAACTACTTGCTGATGCCACAAGAGAATCCGGTTTCCCCACAAAGGGTGGGGCCAGGCACCACCAGCTGAGCCAAGTTCCAACAGACACAGCCGGCGTAAGCCAGGCCTCCCGCGGAAGGTCTCCCGCCAGAGCACCACCAGGGCACACGCAGGGCACCCCCTCCCTAGCCTGCATGCGCCCACTGTCCCCTCCCAACCTGTTCCCAGGTGCAGTCCCACTGTCCCGAGGAGTCTGGCTCCAGCCGCCCCCCCCCCGCCCTGTCCGCCACCAACTCTAGCAGCTTTCTGAAGGTTCCCTGGTCTTGCTAATGGTGGATGGACCCTCCACTCCTGGGCTCTGAGCACTTCATGAGCCCGGGCTGAGCCGCAGCTGCAGCTCCAGATGGAAACAGGCAGGCAGGTGACTGACTTGAGGGCTCAGCTCGTGTGTGGCCAGAAATGGGGATGGGGGAGGGAGGGGCCCTTGGAGAAGGGGTGAGCAGCCCCTTCGGGGAGGAAACAGGATTTATCATCCACTCGATGTGGTCAGGAAGTTCAGAGGATACCCCACAGGGAAGGGAACAGGTCCCCAGAATAGAGGAAGGAGAGAAGTTACCACCTGGCCCAGAAGTTCCTCCCAGCTGGCCAGACTCGGAGCTGTGGGGGAGCGGGCAGTCTGGAGGGAAGGGAGGCGGCCCGGGGCTGCTGGGACCTGCCTGTCCCTCCGCTGAATCACAGGATGTCGGGGTGAGCGCTGGGGGCGAGGAAGTGGCCTCTCCCCTCTGCTTCCCTGTCACAGAAACCGAAACCCGATTTTCCCTCCCCTCAGCCCTTCTGGGAACCGGGTCGTTTTTAGAAAGCTGCAAAGAGGAAGCTGCCCTCACCCAGGGTGCAACCCCCCCACAAAACCCCTGGTTCTGCTGACCTCGGGGAGTTGTTCCAGCCTGCCTGCCATGAGGCCCGGAAGGAGCAGCTTATGTAAAGGCTGTCACTTAACCCGGTCTCCCAACATGCGTCCCCACGCTGGCCCGCACAGCCAGTGACTCACCCCGGATGCCTCCCTCCTCTGGCGAAAGTGAGTGCGGACAGGAGCACAGGGCAGCAAAGTGCAAAGAAGGCTAGCCAAGGGCCTGGGGACAGGATTCCAGAGGCCAAAAAATGGACAGATGAAAAAGGGAGGGAAGCCAAGTGCCCCAGGTGGAGGCGGCAAACCTCATCATCGGAGTAGGGAAGGGATGCCCTCTGTCTCCAGAAGCCAGCGCCTCTCTGGGTGCCTCCCCTCCCTCCTGGCAAGCACCCGCCTCCCCCGAGCTGCAAGTCGGCAGACACACTTCCCAGGCCTCCCTGGCGCTCGCACGTACGCACTTCAGCCCAACCACCCCCAACGGAGTGGAAAAATGAAACCACCTGTGGGTTTGCACCCCAACCACGGGGAGAGGCCCCGCTCACAGAGGGCCCTGGTGTGGGGAGGCCCCGATTTCTCCTCCACCTTTAAGGGCTTTGCTCAAACTCATTTTAGAAGATAGAGAATGTGGGGGCAGGTTCAGGGACCTGGTGACCCACTGGCTTTTCCACATCAGAACCTGGGCTCTGAGCTCCCCCAACCCAGTTAGAGTGGCTTGGGCGTCATGGCTGACCACAGACTCGGGAAGTGGGGGCCGGGCTCCAGGATGCCGCCAAGAGCATGTGGGCGCGAGGAGGACGAGCTGCCACGTTCTTATCGTGGTGCAGACCCTAATGCCCTTCCAGACCACCCAGAGGCCTCCTCAGGACCACACGCAAGTGAGGCTGGCAGAGACGCGAATATCCTGTCCTCTGTGAGGACCCTAAGTCCAGAAAGCCAGCTGAGCTGGGAGTGCCCAAGCCCCGTGTCCCCACATCTTCTGGTGTGGCAGGCCCTAGTGGAAGTGGAAGTGCCACCAGGTGTCCCCAGCTGGCCACATGCAGGACCCTGCCCACTCCGGTGCCCTCTGAGCTTCCTCTGGGAGTCTCCGGACACCAGAAGCTGCTGGTGGAAACAGACAAGGGGATAGCAGCTGAGCAGAGATACCAGTGCCCTGAATGGAGGCCTGGACAGCACCCTCCCATGCCCCCAGGCAAGCAGGAGCAGCTTCCAGAGCCTGGGGGCCGACTGTAGCCTGAGGACAACAGCAGGAAGGGAGTGCACCCGACCACAGGCCAGTGAGGCTGGCAGAGGTGCGATGTCCTGTCCTGGGATACTCTTTGTGAAGGTGACCTATTCTGTCCCGGGTCTGCTGCTTCCTGAGCATGTCTGTGAAGGAGAGGTGTCAGAAGTGGCCCCTGGGAGCCTAGAAGGCCCTGGTCCTTCCAGGCTGGGCCCCAGGGCACAGGAGGCTTCCTGGAGAGAGATCGTGCACTGCTGGGCACCACGCTGACCCAGGCTTGGCGAGAACCAGGCTTTGATCCAAACACCCACAAGGATTTACCTCTCTCGGGATGTTGGGGTCCTGGGAGTTGGGTTTCCGCGGGTCCCTGGAATTGGCAGAAGCCTAGCTCATGCTCAGTGGTTGGGGGAAGGATTGGGGTGCAGCACGGGTAGGGGAACAGGGGAGGGCCACTTCACTCCTACTGGGGGCTCCCAGACACCAAAGTGTGACCAGGCTGTTTCCAGACACGACGAGCCTTGGGACACAGAGCTGGCCTCTGTCCTGTGCTTGCAGGGGTGGAGTCCACCGCATTTCCACCCACCTCCTTGTGGCCTGGCTCCAGACAGTGAAAACACTGTCCAACTTGGGGAGACAAGGTCATAGGCCCAGCCCTAACTGCTGTGTGATCTTGGACAAGCCATTTGACATCTCTGAGCCTCAGCGTATTTATGCATAAGATGCTAAGGAGTCTCCAGAGGTCTCAAATCTAGGTGGCTTTGTCATCATTAGCTAGGGGTTACCCTGGGAGTACATGCAGCAGAGGGACAAAGTGTGACCATATTTTATAGAGAGGTAAGCACCTTACCCAATGTCACTAGCCAGAAGTCAGGCCCTGGGCTGCCCTGGGTCCTTCACCTCAACACACTCAGGACACGGCACTGGGTGCCCCTCACTTCTGGAGGCCCAGATCGGCTATCAGCAGGGAGAGAACATGCCAGGCAAACACTTTTCAGCTTATAAACACTCATTAAGGAGCTAATAATCCTGACTTCCCAGAACCCTGCCCTGGGGCTTGCTCCTTCCCTGGAAGAGGCTGGGAATTGGCCCCAACAGCTGCGAGGGCTTTGGGGCACTTGGACACTGGCCACCCAAGGCCGCTCAGCCAGGGGGCCTTGCAGAGCACCCCCCACATCTTGCTTTGGAGCCTCATGGGTTCCCCTGTTGAGGAATGAAGGCTTGGGGGCTGGAGACAGGGCTCAGAACCTGGTTCAGCCACCTACACACTGGGAGACTGGGCAAGTTACCACTTCTGAGCCTCAGTTTCCTCTGCTGTGAAATGGGGTGATGCAGCCCCCACCCCCCATCCCAGGGATTCAGTGGAGATGACATGAGATCACAAAAGCACAGCACCTGGCACACAGTCAGTGGCCAGTAACAGGCAGCTTCTTTTATCCCTGACTGACCTCTGCCATTGTCTGTCACTTACATCTGAGCTAAGAGCCTCAGAGGTGACAGATCTCTATTTGACAGGTGGGGAAACTGAGGCTCAGAGCGGTGAAGTCACTTGTCCACAGCTGCACAGTTAGAAGGCGGTGGGGCTATGGCTTCCCGCCACCTCGGAACTGGTGAGGCCAGTGGCGAAGGAACAGGCAGGGGGCGGGACTCTGGAGCTGGGGGCGAGTCCTGGGTGCAAAGGCCTTTGACTTATAAGCCCCTTCCAGATCCCCAAGCAGAAATGATATCACCTAAGACTGGGTGGCTCTTCTTAGCTTATCTAAAGGCTTTCACAAACTTTCTCTCATCCCAGTCCTTATCTCATTATTGTCAATGGCTGATAAGGCCATAACCAAGGGCTTAGGTCAGTTTCAAGTCCTGCTTCAGCCCAGCCCCACAGCAGGTCCCCCACCTTCTCTCCCAGGCCTTCTGGGGCCCACACTGGAGGCAGGACCTGGGGAGAACCAGCTCCTCTTCCATCAGGAGAGGGAAAAGCTGCTTCTTGCTGGGGGCCTGGCAGGACCACCTGAGGATGCTCTTGGCATCCATGGGAGGTAGAGAAACCCAAGCTCACCAGGCTCGCAGCTCCAAGGAACTCGGCCAGAGGGAGCAGGGCTGAGGGTCACCGCCTCTAGGACACCTCCACCCTCCTCTATCGTGACACACATGCTGGAGGAGGCAGGGGCCAGTTCTCAGCCTGATCCTCCATGCCCAGGTGGAAATTCACCCTCTGATCCCCGTGGTTACCTCACCCCAGACCCAGCCACTTCTACAGAGTGACAGCAGCAGCCCTGCCATTCTGCCGCGGGTTCTCACCCAACAGCACATGAGGTAAGACCTCTGTCATCACGCAGAGTCTGTGCCACAGGCACACAGACATGTCCCTAACAGAAGCAGGCGTGGCACTGTTCCTGTGACAGCTCCCTCACCGGGCATCTGGCCCAGGCTTTACGTGAATCACCACCAGGATCCTCACAGCAACCTCCCAGGTAGCCACCTGCCACCCCACTGCTTTCCCCACCAGGGAAACTGAGGCACAGGCTATTCAAGTGACCCCCACCCTACTGACCACACTCTCATAGACCAGGTGCCTGCCAGCCTCTGAGCCTCACTTCTGGGCTCCCCGAGCTGGAACTCACCCCCTCCCACCGCTCCCTCCACCTCTTCTGCTCTGACTACTTAGTTCTAACCACTTTCCTAGGAGGGCTTTGGAATGTGCCTTCCTGCGGCTCTGAAACAGTAAATGGCTCCCGTCTGGGTCCCCAGCTAAATTTACTGAGCGAGGGAATGTGGGCACACTGGCTGGCTGTACTTACCTGAAGTTGAGAAGGAAATAATTTTTTTTCATGCAGGTCCTGAGAACTGCCCTCCCCTGGCAGCCTCCCCGCCCTGGTCACCAGGGGCCCAGTCAGCCTGCACTCAGGCAGGCGCTGATGTCCCCGCCACTCCTCCTCCAGCCTGGCCTGGCTGGATAGGAAACTGGGAACAGACACATGAGCTCACTCTGGAAATCCCCACGGGTGGCCGGAGCGACACTGAGGCCTGCTCCAAAGCAGATGGCCCGCACACCCAAGGGAACGTGCAGCCCAGAGAGTATATCTACCCTGATGCTGCATCAAGAGACAGGTAGGGGGCCGGGGCCACTCCAAGCCTGCCACCACTCATCCCTACCCAAAGGTAAGTGCCAGGTGGCTCATGCAAGTCACATGCACAGCACCCTCCTCACCCCCCCCCCCGACTTCCTGCTCTCACCTGGGGTCTCGCCTGGGGAAGAGATTCAACAGTAAGTGGACAGGAACCCTGCACAGAGCTCTGGTCACAGTGAAAACACCCCTGACCCAGAGCTGGACTCAGACCTCAGCAGCCCCAATGCATTTGTGGTGTGATTTATTCCTCCTCTTAGGGGACCAGGGGTCCCCTCCTGGGCATTAAGCGTGCACGCATGTGTGTGTGCGTGTGTTACACCAGGTATCCGAGAAGCTCGGAAGGAGAGCAAACCAGGTAGGAGTCATCTGGTAGTCTGTTCACCGCAGGTGGCACAAGGTCTTAGGGCTGGGCCTGGGAACGGACAGCCCAGGCTCGATGTCGGCCCTCTGGTTACTTCCTGCACACCTTTGTGCAAGTCTGAAAGCTGCTTTGTGCCTCGAGAGGCACACAATGGACGGACGGAGGCTACTCTTCTGGCTTTTCTTCTTTTTTAGCTGAAAAGGTGCAAGTCTCATTCCAGCCTCATAAAGTTAAAAGAC